ATTTACAAATAATTGAATTTTATATATTGCATAAAATAAACTGAATAAAAAATTAGATAAAAATAACAAATCATGGAATTGGACATTACATTATTAACAATCAAATTTTAAAACATTAACATAGTATTAATTATTCAGGATGCACAATACTTATGTGATGCTACTGTCCATGGTCAATGACTCGAGATATCGTCCCGCGGAAACCGTAAAATGGGCTTCCGAGCATGCAAAGAGGTCCAAAGAGGCGTCAAAGATAAGCATTCGATTGAAGTACTTAAGCGCGCGGGGCAAAGGAGCCAGAGCACTTGCCCTAGAACGTGTAGAAGGTATAGCAAGTAGCCTTCTTCTGTGAGGCCGCACCAGGCTGGTCCTGGGCACCCAAAAGCCCATCATGGATAGTATGAATGGATTGTACAAGATTCCACGCACCAAGCGAAATATGTAGGTCATAAGAGCTAGATTGCGTCTTACTTCCAGCGTTCTGTAACCGACCATACCCAAAATAAAAGTAGTGGGGTAAAGTAAGGGGTAATAACCGTAAATTTTTCTATAAAGGTTGCGAACAAATGACTTCTGAATTTTCTCTAACGTCGATATGTGATTATAATGAATGGGATTCCAAATGATGGCGTTACTTTCTAGCTTGCTACGAACGAAACTATTATACAAAAGACGAGATGTGAGGTCACTTTAGAACGATCTTGATTGTCTCATGACAAAGCCGAGAGACTTACGCGAAGATTTATTTAATTTTGAGATATGTTCCCGGAAAGTCGGCCCGGCATCGAACCATGTACCCAAATCCCTCACAGATGTAGCCCGGCTGATGTGCGTATCTTTTATTTTGTAAGTGTTATTATTTGTTTGCGAGTTACTTACTTGGAAGCCACAACTGACAATATTATTATAGTGAACAAACCTTACGTCATTAGAATTTTGACTGAGTGTTTATGTCGTTGTTTCCAATTTCCATAACACAAATGCTTTAGTTACTTATTTTGGGATCAGAGCAAAGTATATGATATTGTCTAAATATTAAGAATAGAGTTCAAATTCACAGTTAAAAAAAGAAACAGTTAAATATGTCTACTGAACAGACAAACCAAGCAACGATCATAGTATGAGGAGCCGCACGCTGCCGACCTCAACTAATACGCTGCTAAGTGACAAAATATTTTTTTGAGATATCATATAAACCCAGTTTTAGAATATTGAAATTGTTTAATGATATTTTAGCTCTGCAACGTTAGGGCGCGTTCCCACTATGTCGTCACGTTTTATTATCGTTGGACGACTGTCGTGACTAGCTGTTCCCACTAGATCGTGACGACAATTTATCGTTTCACGACAGCCTCCTTGCCCATCTTTCGCAACGACACAACGCTACTGCAAAGCAAGCACAGGGCACGAGGTACGAGATGGGAGGGCAGGGTGCAGAATACGTACTGACAGCGATAAATAAAACGTGACGACAATAGGAGCTGCGACAATCTGGCGTCACATTTTTATCGTGACTTTTTTTATCGTCAGACGACTGTCGTTCTAGCTGTTCCCACTGTGACGACAGTTTGTAGTTGTAACGATAAAAAATCGTGAACGACAGTTAATCGTGTCGTGCTATATGTGAACAACTTCATTTAAATATACAAGCCACGACACTGTAAACTGTACGACAATCTGTCGTCACGACATAGTGGGAACACGCCCTTAGGGTAAATTCCGATAAGTAGAATACGCTAACCAGTTTTAATTGTTTTTGAAAGAGAGTTTTGTGCTCTATTTTTTGCTATTTAAAACGGATATTTGACCATTTGTCACTTAGCCCGCGTTTTAGTCAGTGGACGTCAGCATGGTCAATCTAACAAAACACATCAGGGGCGATTTTTTTTATAATACTACGTGACGGGACAAACAAGTCGTGGGCCTGGTTGTAAGCTACTCGCCTGTCCATTACAGATGCAGTGCCACTCAGAGCTTTAAATTGCAAAGATCTTAGGGGCACTGCGTCTGTCACCCTAAGACATAAGTTCACAAGTTCCATGTGCCGGTAATATCACCAGCAAAATCAAATAAAATCAAAATAATCTTTATTTCGTAGGTAAGCATTATTACATTTCAAATCGTCAAACTCTACCGCTCATTCGTAAGGCAGATTCACCTGAGAACAATGAGCAAGAAACTCCAAGGGTTGCTCTTTGTAAATAACTTTTGTACACACATTCAACATTTACAATATATACATTTTTGTTTTCAAATATCAGAGATCGAGACTACCTCAATGAGTAAACGGGTTACTACCACGGATTTTTGTCATCCAAGTACGCCAGAACTTGCGTAATAACCTTTAGCATAAAGTTTTTGTTTCACTATAGTTTTAAACCTCGTGAATGGCACATTTTTATAACATTGCCCTTTAAATGAATTTGTGTCTGTGAAGACGACTATCAAGAACAGCTAGTTTATTTTTACTCCTCGTATTAATGTTATGTCTGTCATTATTTTTCATAAAGAAATTACTATTCCTCTTAACATAAATTACATTTTCGTAAATGTACTGTGAGTCTAGTGTAAGAATGTTAGTTTCTGCAGGGCAAAGATTCTATTGATATCGGCGGCATTACCCCAAAGCAAAATACCGTATGTCATTAGACTGTGAAAGTAGCTGAAGGAAACCAATCTAGCGGCAGAAATGCATAGAAATACACATAGCTGCTTGGCGGCAGAAATAGATAAGATGGCAGTACTGCCCTGGACGAACTCTTTCACATGGAGTTCTACTACTTGTAAAACATATTCAGAAATAAAGTGTAATTATATGGAATGTGTTTAATAATGTGGACCGCAAAGTTAGGTAGTACGTATAGCAGTAGCGCTCCTTGTGAAAGGTTCGTCCAGGGAAGTTCTGCCCCCAAAAGGGGTTCCCGCCTGGTCGTGGCGGGGGGCTCTAGTACCCGTGGTCGATTTCATCCCACGGTGAAGCTAAGAGGAACCCACGGGGCCGGCCGATGGTGGTAGGCTGGCCCGAGGAGGAGGGTGTTCCGGGCGGGCCTCGTCTGGTCAGCGGGACCGCGCGGATGCGCGTTGGGAGGAGCGTCGCGGGGGGAGAGACGTGTCGGTGTGTCGTTGCCGCTTGTCCTGTCCTCCGCGACCCTAGCGGGGCTGCACCGCTTTCAATGATGCAGTGGCGGCGGGGCCGCGGGGGAAGAGACTTGTCGGTGTGTCGTTGCCGCTCGTCCTATCCTCCGCAGCCGAATGTGGGCGGTTGGCCCGTGGTGGGCGCTCCAAGGGACTCTCTTCGGAGAGTCCGCGCGGAAGCGCGTTAGGTGTTGCGGCGGAGCCTGTCATCAGATCCGCCGCTTGGGCTGGGGGAGCAGCCACTGAACTTCACAGTTGAGTGGATGCTGTCCTGGCCCCCCATGGCCCCTGGGTAGCGGACTCGGGGGAGTTCGTTGCCCAGCATAAAGGGGCCCGGGATGGAAGGCTCGTCTGGTGTTCGGCGAGCCTCACATTCGGAGTCGGGGGACCGATGTGTCTCCCTTCTCGGGGAGGGGCTGCGCAGGGCGCGGCCAGCCGCTGGTGGGGGCGCGGACGAGTGCAACAGCGTACCCGTACCCCCACCTACAGCGGAGAGGAGGAACACTCCGGGTGTTTAGTGCGGTCGGGCTGCTCCCCTTCGGGGTTCAGCCCAGTCCCACATAGCCCCGGCTCTGCCCCCGCGGGGCCGGGGTACCTGTAAGCAGATTCCCCCGGATTATTAGGGTGCTGGTGAAATTACAGGCACATGGGACATCACTTCTTATTGTACGAATGACGTAGACTATAATGCTTACTATTCTGGTGGAAGGATACGCCAATACAATACCTACTCGCCGATTGTTCCCAGGGTGCTCTGGATCAACATGAATGCGGATACGTATCATGCGGGCAGGCTCGTTTCGTGCGTCGACGCATCTCATTTCTTTTCATTTTTATTCACTACACCCGAATCGAACGTCAAACAGTCGTATTCGAAACCGAACCGAAATGACGTCACACCCGTACCTACGATTACTCGAGCTTCTCGACCGGCAAAGGCTACAAACGTTATTCAACACAGTTATCGAATGAAAGTGACCGAACGCTGGCGAGGCTTGAACACCGCAGTAAAGTTGCCTGCATATCGGTATTCTACAGGATATATCACGGAGAATGTGCGATGGAATTGCATAATTTGATTCCGCCTTCCCCTTTCCATCATCGGGGGACTAGACGTAGCCTGGAGTTCCACAGGTCAAATGCGCAATTATTTATAAAAATAAAATAAAAAGTGTTATTGTTTACAAAGCAAGAATGTGATATGGAAATCTCTTTTTATTTTAAATAAAGTCTGAATTTTGTTCAATTTTATTAATTTATTTTAATTCTTAGAATAACAACGCATAGAATGATAGTTTCATATCAAACGAACTGTCACAAGTGAGGCAAAAATCAAATTCATGTAGGTTAGTTTTAGTAGTAGGTTAATTTTCGGTTTTAGTGAATATTTATACAAAAATACAAGTTGAAACGCTTTACTTCCTTGTGGAATGTGATATTAGTATCTATTTTATGTTTGTCTGACGTATTTTTACACTCATTTACCGCACATTTCGTCATTTTTAGCTAAAATTCTGGAGCTGTTCGCGGTGCAAGTTGACCTTGAGCACTGACGGCCCGCCCGCTCGTGTAGGCCCATTGGGCGCGCTTCAACTTGCCTCACTTAGCGTGTGCGAACTAGGTTTCTATGCGTTATTATTCTAAGGAGAATCCTATATTTTAGACGATTAAAATCTTGAAAATGTATATAAAAGGGTTTTAAGTTTTCTTATAATCTATTTCACCGACTAATTGGATAACGATATCGTTTCCGAATCGAACCCTTCGATTCGAGAACGATATTCTATTGAACGATTCGTTAAAATATCCAAGAGTTCTGAATCGGGGTATGGTCAAATGCGTACTTTTTTATAATCAAAACTTACCATGGTATAGTGTGCGTCCAGGCCAGCTGGACCCTCCTAGGCGCAACGAGCGACATATTCTCTGTCTTTCTAGCAGCCACCCTCGACAAATTATGTTCTTTTCTATTTAAAACTCACTTATCCATTTATTGACTCCTGTCAAATCATTTTTTTTAAATGGCGGGTGCTACGCTAACTAAATTGATGAATGTATTTTGACCTGTAACAAAAAGAAAATGTCTTGACAACACTGTCACTTTACCCACATAAATATTATTTGTAATAATGGCGTGTCGCTTCCAGCACAAATGCAGAAAACAGTTCTGCTGTGATTGCCGGGGAAAACCGTCTCTCTTATTTTAAAAATTCAAAATTAATCTTCTAGACCGTCATAGAGGCGAGAGTCTAAAATAGATACCCAAAATGTTGATAATAATAAGAGGAACGTCGACGAATAATTGAAAAAACAAATATATTGACTCGATTTTAAATCCGTATAATCTCAGCACACGGTTCTAAAAAAACCGACCTTAAAAGTTCGTGAGATTACATCTTTTTGCCAAGTTTTATTGAAATCGGTTATCGGAAATTGCGCGAAATCGGATTCAACTCCTAGCTTGCAACCGATGTGCCTTCTTTCCAACAAAAAAAGAATCATCAAAATCGGTTCATAAATACCGGAGTTATTGAAAAGAAACACAGTCGAAATGAAAATCTCCTCCTTTTTTTGAAGCCGGTTAAAAATATTAACATTTTCAATAGTAAAACACTGTTAATTTCTATAAGATTTAAAATCTTTATATTAGACATAAAGTTAAAATACATTGGTACAAAAAAAACTTAAATACTAGAAATTAAAACAAAAAATAAATTATATGAATAAAATTGGGTCCCCGAAAAAGTGCCCAAGATGCTGGCAGCGTTCCCCCATTGTACAGCTATGCTAATATGTTGGGCGAGGTAGCTGCTGGCTCTTGGGTTTCCTATTCAGTCCATTATTTTTGGGATAAAATTTTGTATAAATGAAGGGCACCGGGACCCTACCGGCCAAGAGTTTCGACTCGTGTGTTTTGTACCAAATTATAATATAAAGTTCTTTAGTTCATCCATCTCCATCCATCTATCCGTTAATAATAATGAATTCCATAAAAATATTCGATTGTGCACTATTTAATTATTAAGTTTCGATAAAGAACATTTACTGTCATGTTAATTTGCAATAGTAATTTTCATATTTTATTGATCTTGAATTGTTAGTTATACTGTAGTAACAGATTGTATGTAGCTGAAACCGAGAAACAGGAAATATATTTTCGCGCGTAAGGCGATAGTGGAGCCATCTTTATCGGAGGTGTTTTAAAAAGGTTGAATGGCTCGAATTCTGTTCCTAATTTTCGACCAAATAAGTGAAAAAAGAATTAATTGTATTGTCGTGACGACGAAAAAAATGTACACAGTACTAAAAGTATTTGATAAGTCATATTACAAAATTGAAGAGTATTGTGTTAGATAAAGACATAGATAACCAAAGATGCATGGAAAGACAACATGAGTCTAGATTCCACATCTTTATGATACAAAGTGTATTCCATAGCATTTGTTTGAAATGAGCAATTTCGAGTTTCTTGTGAGCAGTAGCTCAAAAAATGACATTTGCAAGTGTAAAAATGTTACCTATGATATAAATGATTATTTGTAGAGATGGTTAATATAATATATAGCTCAAATTATAACGTTAAATTAAAAAATAATTATAGCAATTATAATTTGAAAGACATAAAGGTGCTAAAATTATAGCGAATTTTTTTCACGTTAAGAAAATTAAACCAAATGCCATCTAGCGACATAATTTTACAATATTTCAATGTCATACCATCAATCTATCCGTGCTTTACTACGTGTGTTTTTTGTTACTACGTGAGTTGATTGAGTGAGCACTCTCTGTAAAATGTTTAAAATGTGTTAGATCATTTAGTAAAAGTTCTAAAATAATTGTAAAAACCAATATTTCTATTTGTAAAAAGATAAAACAAGAGAAAAACAACTTAAGGTGTGCGCACTCAGTTCTCACAGAGGGCCAGTCAGATCTACAAAAGTGTTAAGTTTAAATATAATAATATTGTACTAGTTTTTAGTAAAAAATTAGTTAAACTATCGTTTTTAATTACAGACTGACAGCTAACAAACAAAACCCTTCTTCGTCCTGAGTTATCTCCCTTAATATTTCATAGATGGCACTATATTCTATGTGAAAATTGCGGCTCTTGTCATTGGTTGAAACTATTATAACGTGAAATACTTTCACATATTATTTGTAGCATTTAACGTTTCGTGTGAAACACGAAATAGCTGATTGGTTTATTGATGTTAAATTTCACGTTTGGTACCCTAATAATGCTATATTTAGAACTTAGCAGGTATTATAATTATAGTTATGTTACAAATTTTAATTTTGATTACTTTTTAATACGATTTTGAGCTAATGGTGGAATGTTAGCAAAATTTCGTTTCGTGAAGCGATTTAAATTAAGATATAATTAAGTACTTGGATTTATTTAGTTAGTTTAGCGTTTGTTTAATTAATAAGTCGTTGTAACATTTGTATATAAAACTACGAGTGTGTGCGTTATTATTAATTATTATGAGTGTAATTTACTGCAAATAACCAGTGTAAAGGTTTGTGCAAATTGTAAATATTAAATTGTTGAAGTATGAAGGGAAGCTCATTGATTTATCGTCTATAACCTGTAACCACCATATTATGTAATAGTTACAAAACAAATGAAGTCGGTTGTAACTAACCATAAAAAACTGTAAACTATTCTATAGATAGACTATAGATGCTATAGGTACTTAACAAGTTAGCGCACGTCAACTATTTCACGTTTCTTTTCATTCGTTACATTATCACACGACCTTGAGCTGCTAAAAATTATAATTTTAGCGCTTTAAATAGCGCGCTATAAAAATTAAGCAGTTAGCGTTTAACGTGCTATGCGAATATAGCAGTGAATCTCATATCTAATTATTTGACTTCGTGCAAATTAATAATCAACTTTTAAGTAATTAAACCCAAAAGACGTGGAACTTATTACACTGGAAATACTTTTATGCTCTAAACTCTTGTGGTATATAGTGTAACAAGCAAGCTATCTTTTAATTTTGAGCCAAGGCCAAATCTATCAAAATATCATTATAATGATGCCATAAAACTATTATATGTTCTATTTTATCTAAAGTGGGCAATTCGATTACTGTTTTTTGCTACTTTATACGTATATTTATTAAGTACTGATCAAATTTATGTGTTTTTGTTACATAGTTCTGCTATGCAGATGAACATTGTAAATGGTTATGGCTATTGGTAAATTCCATCATCGGGGTTCTAGACGAAGTCTGGCTCGCTCACTTCCCGTCACTTGTCACGTGTCTTCAGTTCCCAGAAACCTACGCAACTGGTGGGACCGGAGTATGTCTACAGTAGTACCTCTCAGTTATACGGGAAGGGCTCTATAACCTGTACAAGCACGCCCGCACAGGGACCTTGGCCCTGATTTTGATTCAAATAGGAAGCGACCCGATCGGGTAGTCTCGAAATCAGATGGATTTCTGAGCGAGAAGATGAACCTGATTCCTACTATATCTTTCTAATTTGTGAGTTAAATCAACTGTTGTTCCGATTAGAAATGTCTCTAGACAACTGACTGATTAGAAATTTCGACTAGGAAAAGACGCAGTTTCCGATTGGGAGATCAAATTTTACCTGCTACTCAGTCAGATACCTGACTGACTAGCAGCTAGATTATAGTAGCAGTCCCATATCTTTCTACATAAGTTTTGTTTATAGTGCCCCTCCCTATCAACTTCTTGTTTGCGAGCGTATTCGCACAGGGACCATCTAAGTCAGGTCCTAACCCCGGATCAGCACATTTACACGTACTTCATCCGGTTCTCTGTAAGGCCTGCAATTACAGCACCCTCCCTATTTTCCAAATAGGTACCGGAGCTGTAGGCACGCTCACTTCCCGGCGCGCTTCGTATGACTAACGGTTGCCACCGCTGAGCCGCCGACTCTGAGTCCATTACCAAATCTCCTCATTGGTGGCGGAGCTGTAAGGCATGCTCACTTCCCAACGCCGAAAAACGACGTCTCTCCAGTTCCCAATAACCTAAGCGGCCATAACCTAAGGGACCGGAGGATATCTTGCTTATCCTCTACTAGCTCTCCGGTCTAGTGCCGGAGATGCCAGTCGCAGCGACAACGTCCGGATAGCTTCCAACTTAAAGGGCAATTAACCTCAGGCCCTCAACTAGACCGCTATTAAGACGCGTTAGCAGCGCACGAAACAGACCTACAGGTCTACAGTAGTAGGATGGAGGAAGTATTGCCGCTGTACCTATTTCTGCCGCCAAGCAGTAATGTAAGCATTACTGCGTTCCGGTTTGGAAGGGTAAGGGTGCTGGTGAAATTACAGGCACATGGGACTTGTCAACTTATGTCTCAAGGCGCTCACATCTTTACGCTTTAAAGCTCTGAGTGGCACTGCAAATGTTATGAAGTGGCATGTATCAGGCGCACGACTTGTTCGTCCCGTAAAAAATATTATGGTTCGTGTTAACGAGGAATTCCATTTTAGTTGTCGTTTAGGAGACCAGGATAACGAACACAGCGAAAGCGGACCTAACTTTTGAGGTCGGTTTGTTAAAAAAAGTTCTGATAATTATTATCTTCGTATCTTGCCCAGGTTGTTTTTTTAAAATCAACCAAAAAGTTTTTAAACATGAACATTAGAATGTTTATTTTCGACTCACCTGCGTGCGTAAAAAATAAACCAACCTAAATACTCGTATTTCACACACTTTTGACGGATGATCGTTTAACTGTAATTACAAGATTTGTGGGTAAACAACTGAACACAAACGTGTTGTAAGATTAGCGCCACACTCGAATTTCAACCGCGTAATTTACGGCGCTTTCCACTTTTAACATCCAACGCAAAGGCCTTTGTAGGAATCATTATGTCTGTCTCATGTCTGTCATTATAGCTCCTACCTATAATAAGTTGAAGTGGCGCTTACTGCACAGATTTTTATGGACAGTGCCAGCTACTCTTTAATTTTGTTTAGGATTAGCGCCATCTACCCATATTAGTTTATATTACCTCATAAGAAGGCTCAAGGT